GGCTGTTGCTCACCCGACACGATCGTACGAGGTCACAATTCACCCAACACGATCATCCGGGGTGAACAAGAATTGGGGATCGGATGCGGGCGAAATTCCCGCCAATGGCTGAGATGTTCAGTCGACTCCCTCCCCCTTTGTGGGGGTCCGGACCCCTACGAGTGAGCAGAAAAGGGAGGAGGAAAGAGGCCCTGGTGAACCGTCATAATTAGTGAACAAGTGTAAGCTTCGCTGCCCGACAGTATGGAGTACTGACCACACCGAGGGACAGGCCCTGAAGCGAAGGACGGGAACGAGCGGAATCAATGTGTTCCAATTTCTGGCCTTGCACCGACCATCCAATGGACCATGGACTAAACGGCCACTGCCTGAAAGGACTATGTCCAGGGGACCGCCGCCCCCCCCCACAAGGTACATCTCGCGCCTATGGGCCGCTATAACTATCCAAGAAGACACTCGAAACTGGAAGGAAAAACAAACCCACCCGGTGGACTGCCGAGCTACAAGTCCTACGACACAGGAGCGGGATTCTCTAAAAAGCCAAGGTCGTGGGTGGCCAAGAGGGCCCACTTGGAGACTTGGGATCTCAGCAGGAAATGCGAAGGTTGCGGCCGATAGGCGAAAGAGAATCAACTAGTTTAGTTCTGATCTGAGTAGGCTCATAATAGGGAATACCCTAACCCTGGGAACCGGGGCCCGGCCATCCTTCGTTTGCGGTCGACGTTCCGGCAAAGTTTGTCCGTCGATAGCTAAATCTTTCGATCTGTCTCAATTCCCGGGCAATCGCACCAAAACTCGAGTTCCTTTTGGATTTCCTTCTTGATCAATGACAACTGCAGCATTGCAGCTTCATCATATCGTATTTTCAGACCGTTGTCACGTTTGAGTTCTTTACATGTACGTATAATTACAGCTCTGATCACTTCTGATCTTTCTAGAGGCATATTGGGTACTGCTTCTTTGATTACAGCAAGAATAACGTCACCAATATGAGCATATCGGCGATTACTAGCTCCTATGATTTGAATACACATCAATTCTCGAGCCCCGCTGTTGTCCGCTACATTCAAATGGGTCTGATGTTGAATCAACTCTTTTTTTTATGTTCTTTCAATGCAAAGGGCGAAGGAAAGAAATATATATACATTTGTTTGTCCAAAAATAAAGAAACCTGCGATTGTTTTTTTCATCACAAAGATCTCTTTCCTTTGGTTCCACATCCCTATCCCGCAATAATGAATTGAGTTCGTATAGGCATTTTGGGCGCCGCTATTGAAATCGCCTTTCTGGCTACAATTTCTGAAACTCCGCCCATTTCATAAAGTATTCGACCTGGTTTAACTACAGATACCCAATCTTCGGGAGATCCTTTCCCCGAATCCCTTTTATAGCTGCTTTCCGTAGGTCTTACTGTAACTGGTTTGTCTGGAAATAAACGTACCCATATTTTTCCACCACGACGTGCATATTGTGTCATTGCTCGTCGCTCTGCTTCTATTTGTCTAGATGTAAGTGGGTTCAAGTGCCTGAAGAGCATATCTACCGAAACAAATACGATTACCTCCACTCCATAAGATATTCCCTTCATTCTTCCTCTATGTTGTTTACGGAATCTTGTTCTTTTGGGGTTATAGTTGATGGTAGTTTCTCAATTCCATCTCTACTACAGAACCGGACACGAGAGTTTCTTCTCATCCAGCTCCTCGCGAATGAAATCAATTTGATTTCATTCGCGAGGAGCTGGATGAGAAGAAACTCTCGTGTCCGGTTCTGTAGTAGAGATGGAATTGAGAAACTACCATCAACTATAACCCCAAAAGAACAAGATTCCGTAAACAACATAGAGGAAGAATGAAGGGAATATCTTATGGAGTGGAGGTAATCGTATTTGTTTCGGTAGATATGCTCTTCAGGCACTTGAACCCACTTACATCTAGACAAATAGAAGCAGAGCGACGAGCAATGACACAATATGCACGTCGTGGTGGAAAAATATGGGTACGTTTATTTCCAGACAAACCAGTTACAGTAAGACCTACGGAAAGCAGCTATAAAAGGGATTCGGGGAAAGGATCTCCCGAAGATTGGGTATCTGTAGTTAAACCAGGTCGAATACTTTATGAAATGGGCGGAGTTTCAGAAATTGTAGCCAGAAAGGCGATTTCAATAGCGGCGCCCAAAATGCCTATACGAACTCAATTCATTATTGCGGGATAGGGATGTGGAACCAAAGGAAAGAGATCTTTGTGATGAAAAAACAATCGCAGGTTTCTTTATTTTTGGACAAACAAATGTATATATATTTCTTTCCTTCGCCCTTTGCATTGAAAGAACATAAAAAAAAAGAGTTGATTCAACATCAGACCCATTTGAATGTAGCGGACAACAGCGGGGCTCGAGAATTGATGTGTATTCAAATCATAGGAGCTAGTAATCGCCGATATGCTCATATTGGTGACGTTATTCTTGCTGTAATCAAAGAAGCAGTACCCAATATGCC